GATTGCTTAGGAAATCCTGCTTGGGCAGTCAGCTTGCTCTTCCGTATTGGTGAATTCCATACGAGCGGTAAAGTTGGGCGGTTAATATCGACCCAAGTGTGATTAAAGTCATGGCGCGAGGTGGGGCTTTTGTAACTCAATTAGGTAGAGCGTTGACTTCCGGTAAAGGCCTTGCATACTATGCAGGTTCAAATCCTGCCGAACGCACCCAGTTTTTTTTTTCACAAATGGGTCAAGTCAATCTCAAATTATCCAATAATTATATTAATAAAAAAATTACCATGAGTATTAACCTTTATTACAGGCGGTCTTGCAATACTTTTCTGTAGGTTAACAGTACATGATACGGAACAAAGATAAGTGTTTAATGTCAAGTGAAAATTCTGCAGGAGGTATAGGTAGGTTTATACTTAACATTAGGATATTCAGTTTTGAGGTCTTGTTTAGGGTTGAAAACGGAAATTGAGCAATGACGTGACAGTTTGACCGTGGGTAAATGTTGTCTGATTGTTAACGAAACCCAATCGTCCCGCTGTGCCTTGAGACTCTTTCGCGAGTTCCACCGCAGCTAGTAGTTCCGGCAAATAGAATGAAAATGAAATCACAATTAATGGTTCATCAGCCATCATCAGGCAGCCATAACCAACCTCAGGCGACGCTCCGCAGCAGAGTAATGCAGCAGGCTGACTTGTACGTTATATTATTTTCAACCGATGGCAAACTTGCACTGCTGCTATCATTCTCTCTCTCTTCCTTTAAAGCTTTGTGTCTGGTGTACAGATGAAGTCAAGAAACCCGAATGCGAGAACAAGTGTAAGAGGCCGGCTAAGTCTGAGACGGCACCCACGCATACCACAGCAATTCAGAATCCCCCATAACGCCAAACATGCCCGGATACACCACACACCTTGGTCCAGCGCATCTACCACGCAGACTTCATGTTAACCCGCCTCATCACAGGGATTATCAAAAACGACCTAGCACTGGATGTGTTTTACCACAACCACCAACATATTGAATGTAATAGTCCGCAAGATACGATGTGCCAAGATCATGAATGGTCCGCTTTTGTTTTTATAAACCTTTGTAGGATTTTGTAAATTGTGACCGACAAACCTTAACTTTGAATTTAAATATCATCGGAATAATCGATTTTCAGCGTACTCTTACAGTTATATGACTTTTCGCGATGGCATGGATTAAAACAGGTTGAAATTCAAGGAACTCTGTCCTCATTCACAGGAATCTGCTTTATTGCTAATTGCGATCTGGAAAAATATATTTTGTTAACGAGCGCTGACAAGATGAAAGAGCAATTACCCTGCGCCATATCAGGTTAAGTCTCTTGTCACACGAATGTTGTATACCACGTGTAGAAATGACCTACATACAGCTTATCGAACGACAATTAATTTAGTAAATGGCCTATACTATTCGAGTCCAGCAGTCTCAATTAACATATCAGTTGGTACTAAAAGGTGTACATTAAGATCGTCTGTATCCCCCTCTTCAGTAATTAACCGGTACCCAGAAATACTTAATAAACCTTGCAGACTTTCTTGAGCTAGAGAAACGTAAATGGAGAACGCTTAGTCGCTATTTGTTAGGTAAGTTCAGCACTATTTTCTCGTGAATTTGTGCAAGCAATGATTAATCTCTAATTCAAATAAATTATTTGGAGTAATACTGATGCTATAAGTTTGAGCCAATACGATTGCTTTTTGATCAACTTTTTGCATTTGCCTTTTAAAAATTATCAGATTCATACTAGCCACTCCCAACATCGTACGTAACGGACGCATTTTTGCACTTCTCAAAAAGCGACCTGTTACCGCTGTATGTGAAAATGCAAAAGAGTAAAACAAGTGTCAATCTGAAAGTCAATGTAAGAATTTACAATTAATGAGGAAATAAGCATGGCTCATATGGCAATCCTTTGAAAAATAATCTATTCAACGATTGCTGGAAGACTTTGCGATCGAATACCCGTGTATACCAATGTACTAAAATTAAATTGGTTATTTATTATTTCGATTATCTTTGAAAATTGAGAATTTAAGAAGATAAATTGGCGGACATACATATGTTTTCGATAAATTTTCGTCAAGCCTTTACAGTAATTAAGGAAACAAACTATGTGGGTTGGTAGAAAAAAGTAGTACTGTTTGCAGGGTAGGGGGAAAGGGGTGAGGGAATCGGGGTCAAAATCTGATCAGCGTTTAGGGGGGACTGGTAGTCGGCCGAGGTGATAAGCTGCTGGCTGTTGGATTAAAGGCCTTTGTCCATGATAACTGCGTCGCCTTGATGGAGTTCTTTTGGGCGCACAGGACCGGTCAGCGTAGTCTGATGGCGGCCGCTTCTGCCCTAGCCGACAAACAGGCAAACTAAAGAGTAAACATAGTTTAATTCTAGCGCACCTGGTAGACTCACACCATCGCCTGGATGCCAAAGAGGTCTTCCGAGTGATCTACAAGGTACCCTCAAACTATTTATTCGACAGCGTCTGTTGGCTACTGCAGAAGTGGCCGCCATCAGGCTACGCTAACCGGTCCTGTGCGCCCAAAAGAACTTCGTCGAGGCGGTGCAGTATCCGTGGGCAAAAGCCGCTAATCCAACAGCTAGCAGCTTAGCTCCTGGGCCGACTACCAGTCCCTCCTAACGTTGATCCGATTTTGACCCCCATTCCCCCTCCTCTGACAATCGTACTATTTTTTCTACCAATACACATAATTTATTTACTTAATTACCATACAAATGTAAAGGCCAGACGAGAATTTATCGAAAACAAACGAATGTCCGCCAATTCATCTTTTAATATTATCATTTCGCACAATCATAAATGGGAACTCATTTTAAACACTGCCCCTTTTTCCCAAAACTGCCTGTCAATGGTTTTTTTCTTTTCAGTAAATACCCTTGGGAGGATGAATATTTCCGTGAGTGGGTGGCCATCATTCAGCATATGATTAACTGTCTGATAGAGCTCACCTAGCACATCTGATAGAAGGACCATGGGAATAGATAAATATACCGTTAATCTTCAAAAAATCTTTTTAATTGACTTCATTTGGATAAATTTAGAAGCTGGCTAGTGTTTTAGGTAAAGAAGGGATTACGAATCCCCAAAATAAGCGCCCAAATGTAACATATTATGTTCACTATTAACACTTGCTGATGACTGCAAACGATAGGACTTGAAATCGATTCAATCTGGAGACGTTATCTACTATGGTGCGTAGTTTGTGAATGAAGTTAACCTGTGTTTAAGATGCTAGTAAGTTATTCTTTTAAACTAAGGACATAAAACGTGGGGTGAAGATTATACACAGCAATAAAAAGCTATATGTCGCGATAAAATAAGAGTACCACACGAATTTAGAATTAAACAGGCAACCTTTGTAGTGAAACGTAACAGAGTGGCGTAAAAATTAAAGTAGAATACTTTAATCCTGCATTATTTCGCACACCGAAATGTGTATCTTTTTCTCCTGACGTTTCCTTTGTCAAAGCGAGAACTGGCTTTATGGATCATCAATTCAAACTTGTGGCAGTGTGTGTTGGCCATAGATTGATCGATTTTTCTACGCTAGCGGTTTGGCCCTGCGCGTGGATTTTGGCGTAACTTGACGGCAATTAGTGTTGTATTCCGTCCCCACGGTAGAGGATGCTGGTAATCCTGCACCCTCTTCCGGTGGTTTCGTCACGTGGCCGTAGTTGTTTTCAAATTGTTTACTAACGTAATGGCGTTGGACTTTTTAGGCCGCGGGGCGGTCGGGACGACGCGAGCGTAGAAATATCGATCAGCCTATGCCTAACACACACAACCACAGCTTTGAATTGCTGATCGATGAAATCAGTTCTCACTTTGACCAAAGACAGCCAGCCCAGCTGTCCGAAACGTCAGCAGAAAAACAAACACATTCCGGTGAGCGAAAATGATCTCGGATTCTAAGCCCGGAATTCTTACTGTTCCAAACTTGCGAATACTTTTTAAACAGTGGGTAAAGGTTTTCACATGTGCAATGCAGCAACCCATATCTCCATTAATACAACTTCGACAAGGACCATTTAAAAAGGGTATTTCCATGTTCATTATCCATCAATGACGATGGAAGCATAAGAAAGAAGTCTCCTCTCGTTTGAATGGTCAAATCGACATGCGGTTCCTGCTTGATTAATGCGAGTTTTGTTGAGTAGGAATCATTTGAAACGACAAACCCCGCTTTTCACTGGCAGACGATAATTAGTTACAAGGTTTACAAACAAGCAAAACATGGAAAACCTATCCTCAACAATCTCAGAATATTTCAAATACGCTAGAGTTCAGGCTTGCCTTCTCAGCCGTCTGCAAAAATAGCATTCTATGCAACATGGATGTTTGGTGCTCTTAAAAATTAAAATATGCGTAATGGCCAAAAAGCGCACATATTTGCTATTTTAATCACTAGATATCTGCGTACGTTTGTCTTAAACATTTACCCAACGATCTGCTTCAGTAAGTTTTCTTAAAAGCTGCTGATTATTTAAAGACGATCCTATTTACATTTGAAACACTTCGATTCTGTGTATTCAGCCATTTCTCTACTGAAGCAAACGACAAAGTCGACACCCATGATAATCATTTCATGACAATATTATGATGACTTTGTAACAAGATATGCGAGTGGATACAGTTCCTTACACAAAGAAAATAAACCTTCAAGAATGAACGCCCTAGAATGTATTGCAACGGATAGTTAGGTTCAAAATTACGTAGCAATTCAGAGGTCTTTAAAAGCGTAAATATTTTCTTTCCTTGAGTATTCCATTTGTTTTTTATCAAATAGATACAAGGGAAATTAGATGTGCTTATGTTTTAAGGAAATATATTAAAACTTATCAGTGCATCAAAAATTGACGAAAATTGAGTTCCACCGAAGGAGCCATTCTTTTCTGAAGCGCATCGTACATTCAAAAAGGCTATCTTAAAGTGTCGAAAAAATTGGAATTTTGACCCGAAATAATAACTTTTGAGGCATCGTGTTAAGTGATCCATTTTCCACATCCTGGTTGCCATTGCATAATGCCACCTACAAGATTTACTGAGCAAGCTGACATTTTCCAGTCCCAAATCAACGTAGGCAACAGAGAGAACGATACATTTCATACTCCCAAGTTTTAATTAATTTGTCACGCAACAGAAACCGCAACGACGTCTACCAATGCTAGATAATTTTAGGCTAAGGTAGGTTCAGTAGTGGAACTTTTATTCTCCAAGCCCTAGCATTATATCGTAAAAAATGTTGTTATTATGGATTTTGCGTTTGGCAAAAATAGGGAAGGCTGGGGAGGAAATTTGTAGCTGAATTTGATTGATGCGGCCGCTACAGTGTACCGGAATAGAGCGTGTAAATAAAAAAAATCAAAACAATATTTAATAAATAAGAGATAGTTGAATGAACCTTAGTAATAAATTGGTGGCAGATCAGGAACTAGCGGAATGAATAGCTAAAGTGCATACTAAAGTATATTCCAGCATAATTCGGCACCACGATATCGATGCCACACAAATTAAAACTGCAAAGTAAATGTGGTTCACCACTACGCGATTAAGTTTACATATTTCCTCACTGCATATTTATTTACCGTGATCAACGTCCAGCGACGGATTCGAGCGCATAAATAGAACAAAATTAGACAAAAGCTGCATTTAACAGCGATGCGTAAATAAGTGACAGGACAAAAACTAGTAGGACTCACAGATAAAATGCATATAGTAGTTATTCTAGTACATTCCAGTATTCGAACATGAATCTGCAGCGTGTCGTCGACGCCGCATTCATTAAAACCGCAAAAAGAATGAGGCTTTTAACTACGCAATAACTTCTAAAACTTTCCTTCACTGCGCACCCTATTTCCCCACTTATTCTTCCCCTATTAAGTCCCGTAAGAGAGCATACTGGGACTAGCGGT